GGAGACACTCGACTGGGCCTCGTCGGTGGAAGGTGAGGTCAGATCTGATGCTGGTTCTCCATCTCCCATCTCGTTGCCGCCGGCCTCCGCGGATCCGCTGTGTTCTGCGCCTCCCCGAGGCTTGGCTGCGCACCCCGCTCCAGATCCAGTAGTTCTTGCCCCTGCCCTGCTGGCCCGCCCGCTGCCTCGCACTGGTGAGGTCGCTCGCCTGAAATCAATTGTAGTTGCTCCGGGCATTGATGGCCCCGGATCCCAGGATCCCTGGGCATCCCCATGCGCTGCGCCCGCTGATCTGCCAGGTCCTAGTCTGCGCTCCCTGATCATCATCCCCCCATCCGCCAGTGCCGGATCCCCGACTGTTTTCTAGCCGGTGTCCGAGGATGGATGGACGCAGGCGCATTCAAGGAAACTGCGCCGCGTCAATCCCCTGGGTAATGGGAATCCCCTCCACCTTCAATGCGCCAACGCCGCCAGAACCAGGAGATTGAAGCCGCTAGAAAGGCCTTCTTAAGGCGTTGCAAGGGCCTCTGCTTGCGGTGCCTTAGCTCGGAGCACAGGAGGATTGAATGCAGAGACCCAACTCACTGCCTCACCTGTCGTCTCCCGGGCCACCAATCTAGCGCGTGCCCTGCCAAGAAATCGCTGCTGACTGCCGGCGCCCCGCCCCGCGCCCCGGCTGCCCCGCCGGGCCGGGGCCCTGTCCGTGATCGACTACGTTTCCCCACCCCAGTAGCACCACCTCCGTCGTCGCCTCCGATCCGTCTGCAACCGCCACCGCCCCCGGAAACGGCGATGGATGCCACCTTCGTCCCTGCATCCCCGCTTCACCGCCAGCGCCAGAGCCATGGGGTGGTCATCCGCTCCAGGGCGATGGAGCACGCCCGCTTCGTCCTCAGGCACCATGCCGTGCTCCTAACGGCCACTGACAGCTTCAACGCCGCCAACTCGATGCTGGTGGGCCGTACCATTGAGGCCCTGCTGCGAATCGGCCTGCACCTGCTGCGTGTCACCCGTCATCATCCGGAAGACTTCCTCGTCCACTTTGATGTTCCCGCCGACCGTGACGCTCTCCTGCACCACAACACCATCAGCGTCGACGGGGTGCCCTTCCGGACCAAGCCTTGGAGGCCGGACGACCATGCTGTTCGCCAGAAATGGTTGCTGCATGTCCGCATCATCATCGAGCGGCTGCCCCTGGACATGTGGACGCTGGAGGGCGCGGAGGAGGTGCTCGGCCGCTTCTGCATCATCGACAGGCTTGACAGCCACACCAGCGAGCGTCGGGACATGCGCACCTTCGCCTGCTGGGCGCGGGTGTGGAGCCTCACCGACATCCCCACCCGGCACTGCCTCTCCTGCTTTGAAGACGGTGCTGGGCGCGTGGTGGAGATGCAGGGCTTCTCGCCCCCGCTGTAGGCCAGTCGCACGGTGCCAGAGCCTCCGGAGGGGGAGAGGAGCTCTCTGCTCTTCCAGCTCGACCGCGTAGAAGATTGGACCCCACGTGAGCTGCGTTCCCCTGCCTCTGCTGTCAGCGGGCTGCCGTCCTCTGGATCGGACAACGAGCGCCGACCTCTCCCTCAGGTCAACTCGCTTGACTGGACCTTCAACGTAGAAGATCGCCGACCGTCCTACCCTGCTGCTGCACCAGCCCACATGCTGCTCCAACCTGCTTCCCCAGCCCCTCCACCGGCCCCTCTGCTGCAAGCCCCGCCCCCGCCACCAACAGCTCCTACCAGGCGCAGGCCGGCCCCATGCGTCACCTCCACGGGCTGTCGGGGCATGCCAGCCCCGTCTCGGCGTGGTGACCAAGATGATGGGAGCGGCCCTAGCCGCCGCTCATGGAAGGACACCCTGCTCGGCATTGGGCGCCAGAGCAGGGCCTCATCGGTGCCGCGATCCTCAAGCATGGAGCGCCACCGCAGCAGGACCCCTGGCCCGCGCCACCACCGTCGTCAGCTCCCACGACAGGCGCCCCAGGCCCAGGCCGACGCTGCACCCTTCCCTGCAGCCACTCTGAGGCCAAAGCCAGGTCCGGTGCGGCTGCTTGCACCACCCAGGCCTCTGCTCCCCCAGCAGCTGCTGCCTGCGGACGGACATCCACTCCCACAACCCGCGGCTGACATGGAGACTCTGCCACAAGCTGATGAGCAGGGGGATGCGCCGCTGCATGCTGACGCCCCTGGAGATGATCAACACATGGCTAGCCCTGAAGATCCAGTGGCAAAATTCTTCACAAACCGCTACACCGCCCTCACCCCTCCCCGTTGGACGGACAACATGCTTTTCGAGATCAACGCTGTTGCTGAAGCAGCGCTCGCCAAGCCACTGTCTTTCTCCCCTGCCGTTACCAAGGTGCAGGGGACGGCGTGCACCCCGGCCCGCACTGGCAGCCGCACCCCTCTCAGGGCATGGCTCACCTCTGCCCCCAAGAAGAGCCTGCCAACCGCTGCTGCTGAAGACCTGGCTTCCATGGTGGGGGGGGGCTAGAACTGGGGCAGAACAAGCCAGCGGTGGCTCGCACCCTCTTCTCCACCGTCCCGCAGCCGCTGATCTCCATCACCCCGAAGACTGTTCACCAAAAACAAGCGACGCCGACGACTGCTCCTACCAGGCGGAGCGCATGCCAGGCAGAAGCAAAATGCGATGTCCCGGTTGCCAATTGTGCGACTATGCGTCTAGTTCGGGCGCTGGGCGATCTTGGCCCAGAGGAGGCGATGACGAAGGAGGCCGCTCAGAGTTTCATCAAGCGTTTCGACGAGCCAATCAGCCAGAAGGAGATCGACGCATTCGCGGCTCTCACCGGCCTAGACGGCACGGCACTCCGTGTCGCGGCGGGGTTGGAGGGCCCAAGCAGCTCGGCCATAGGTGCCGACTAGTTTGATTATGCCAGTAAGCCAATGTAGTTTCCAGCAGAGGCCGGCGGCATGTCGCCGGCCGGTATTAGGGCCCTTTCTTCTTCGTTTAGGGTTAGCGGATGCAGTTCGCCGGAGCCAGGGGTTTGGTGCTACTGGTGGTGCCCCTCGCTGCATCTACTTGCTAGTTTGGATGGTGTCCAGTGTTGCGTCCCTCCTTGTGCGGGGTAGGAGCTGTAGTCCGCCGATGATCATAGAGTGCTACTGGTGGTGGTCGTCGGTGGTGTGGCTTGCTAGTCAGGATTGTGTACTCAGTAGTGCTACATCTTGAGCTTGCGTTGGTTTTCCCCGAAAAGGAAGGGATGATGCAGCAGAGTAGCGTAAGTATTTCCCTCAGTTTTTGAGAACCAAGGTATCAATCCAGTAGGAGCCCATGCTCAAGTCCCTCGTACCTGCACAAAGCGATAGCTGCTCGCAACCAACGCGATTAGGGGTTGTCAAGCCCTTCACGGTCACTTACGAGAGTGAGATCTGATAGATAGAATATTTTGGTATTTTTGATATAAAGATGCAAAGTAAAAAGTAAAGGCAAAGTAAATAGCAAAACAATATAAAAGTGATCGAGTTTGATATGATGAGAATAGACCCGGGGGCCATAGGTTTCACTAGTGGCTTCTCTCAAGAGCATAAGTATTCTACGGTGGGTGAACAAATTACTGTTGAGAAATTGATAGAATTGTGCATAATTAT